GAGAGAGAGAGAGAGAGAGAGAGAGAGAGAGAGAGAGAGAGAGAGAACATGAGTCGAAGTGCTCCTCCCCTTCCTTCTCCCTGAACAACAGATAGCACAAAGTTGGGACTGGGTGACAAAGGGTCAGATACCAAATAAGGTGTTACATCCTCAATTTCTAACTGCTATTGAGCGGTTACTCACCAGCCCTCCCTTCCTCTGCACCCCAACAGCGGGGGGGGGGACAAAAAAAAAAAAAAAAGAAAAAAAAAAGAGAAAAAGTACAAAACGGAGAATACAAAACAACATAAAGAGAGGGAAAGAATAAAGCTATAACCCTGCAGCTGGGTGGTGCAAACTGCTTATTTAATGACAAAGTACTGGATGACAAAAGCGATGAGGATGGCGATGACGGCGAAAACCATGAGGAGGAGGAACGCGCACTGCTCGTCCGTCAAGCTCCGCCTGGCCCGGTTGGACTCCGTGCCGGCCCTGGAGCCCGAGGCGGCCGCGCCGCCGCCCACCGCCACGTCGTTCCGCTGGGGAGAGAGGGTCACCGTGGGGCTGTAGGGCCCGCTCAGCTCAGGGGCGTCCTGGCACTGCCTGATGGCGCACACCCTGAAACGGTAGTCGCTGCTGGGCTGCAGGTTGTGGACGTGGAAAGATGTGGCAGAGCCTTTGTAGGCCTGCGGACGGGAGGGAAGAGCAGAAGAAGGGTGATTTTAACTGGAGATAAAAAAATGAAATGAAATTTCATTGTGGATGAATTATCGGTCTCTTTCTCATCTTTATTCATGATGTTTATGATAATATGTCACTGAGGGAATGCTATTATTAAGCTGCTTTAAGGACTGCTGAACCTGGTGACAAATATTGGAGGAATTAGGTTTGTTGAATTTAATTTGCTGACAAAATGGTTTCCACTTTACTGCTTCTGCCTAATCAGCCTTGCAGCTCTCTAAGTGGCAAGCATAATAGGGGGGAAAAAGCAGTTATCATCCCTCACTTACAGACTATTTTCTGATTCATTTTAGTTATGTTTGTCACTGTGGATGAAGGGGGAAGCCATCTGCCTTTGCTGACACACCCACACGTCTTCAGACAACCTGGTGTATCTGTTTGGTTGCTTTTAAATTGTGACAGTAAGCCTCAAATTGTATTAAACAAATTCCTAGTTTATATTGCTTATAAATAAGGAATGTAGTAAAAAAAAAAGAAGCCAATTCAAACTATCAGAAGTGAATAAAGTCCCTTATACAGCAGCCTGACTACACTAATCTGTTTAGTTCAATCAAACTCCTATCCGGAGAAAATTAATAATTCTTTCTCATACACGGCCTTCAGAGTCTCGGCCACCGGGACTGAGAATAAGGATTGAAACAAAGTCATGCAGGATGGCAGCCACATATTAAAACTCCCTGATCCAATCGCCATGTATGATGTGGTGAGATTAGCATAAGCCTGCAGTGGCCATTACTCCAGGTTAACATGGCTGCAGGCCAATGAGAGGGATGAATGTGCTGGCAGGGGCTAGACACCTGGGATACCTCATGGATCAATGACCTTTGCATAATAGGCAATTTAAAGCCAGCGGTGACTAATGCCGACCGCCGCAAAGCCGCGGTGAAGACATTAAGGCCCCGGGTCCATCTGGATCCTTATCTGCATTAAAAAGGCCATTGTGATGAAAGTTAGGTCAGCCGCAGGTAAGGACATCAAATATAAAAGAGGGAGAACCAAACCTTCACACGACAACATCAGTACCTGTTTAAACTCAGAGTTTCCCATCATGCACTGCAGGGTGTAAATGATCGGGTCCCCCTTCATGGGCGGCAGGGCCTCCCATGCGACTTCGCAGGAGTTGTCGTCCAGACGCTCCACTTTAGGGACTGGAGGTTGGAGGAAGAGAGCGCAGATGTGATTAAAAAGTAGTGCTGAAGACGGGAGACGTGTGCAGTAAACTCAACATCCACCACTCGAAAACAAGAGATCCATCGGATCAAGAAGGGATTTGTAATGCGGAGGAATAGGAGGCACTTTACGTCATGCATCATAATGTCAACACCATGAATGCCACCAACATCTGCCGACAACAGCGCTTGTAAAGTTTGAAGTTGTATACGTGGCGCATGTGAAGGGCAGCGCCACAGTACTGCCATTGCGATGTGTGAAAGACACCATTTGGTTTGATGGCAGACGAAATAAACAGCAAACTTACTGTGAATATTCGGTTTAAATCAGAGCTTTGGGGTTTTTCCTCAAAGTGCAGCTGCTACAGAAACCTTCTGCTTTAATACTGGAGAACTCACTTTTGATATGTGCACTGGCTCAGCTGATGAATAAAGAGTGACATCTAAGAACGATGAGCCATGCTCTTCTTTAGGTGGGTGGCATTTGAAGCAAAAACAGCAGCAGTAAGTGTTTGGTTTGAACTAGTGAAGAGCCCTGGTGCGGTAATCACGACAAAACACAGCGGCAGGGATTTTTGCCGTTATGATGTCGCGACGGTTAGTCCCGAATTCAAACGGTTAATGGTGGAGAGTCCACTTCACTATGTGGGGAGACAAACATTGTTAACACCACACGACTGCTTGAATCAAAAGAGGTGCCGCTCTGAGAATAAAAACCCACGTCCTCATTACTGACTTCAATGTGTCGGATCAAAGGGAGGCTTCTGCAAAGGCTGGTTGAGACCGGAGCACAGTGCCGAACGACTCGTGATGACAGCCGACAAGTGAGTCTCGGGCTGCCGGGTCTTAATCAAATGCAAGTCAAACTTGGATCAACTGAGGTTAAAAGCGGAGCACGCCGGCTGTCTGTACGTCAGCAGCGAGTGTTTGTAAAGATAATAAGAGCTGATCTACACCGGGGGGAGCGAGCGAGAGAGAGAGATAGAAACGGATATATAGAGAGAGAGATATAGAGAGAAAGGACTGACGCTGTACCTTTCACAGGGGCCGGAGGAGAGCGTGGGGTGGTGAATGTGTAAACATTGGAGAAGGGCCCTTCGCCCGCCTCATTAAAGGCCTGGATGCGGAACGTGTAAGAGGTAGACTCATTAAGCCTCTGGACTTTGTGTGTGTGGCATGGTCCTTTATACAAGGATAGAAATCTGCAATAACAGAAACATGGGGAAAGAGAAAAAGGATTTAATGAGCAAAACATGACAAAAAGCAAACGAGACGAGTGACTCCTCAGTCAGGAAATATACAGAGTCATAACACACATCATCAGTTCCCGTCTCCCTGTAACGACACTCTGTCCGGAGCATTACTTTCTATGTGCCCCGCCCCTCCTCGGTACAGTCATCGGAAGCTTTCGCTCAAACACGGGCCTCCTCACTTATCGGGTTATCTCTCGTTAGGTCACTTCCTCTCGTCCTGACTAATGGGGCCACTGACCTGCCGCTCTTGTCCCCCATCTGCAGCTGATACTGGAGGGCGTCTGAGGTGGCGGCTTTGGCTGGGCCGTCGCCCCACTTGAGCCTGAGGGTCTGGTGGCTGAAGGCGGTGCACTCCAGGCGGGGTGGCTGTGGGGGCAGGGGCTTCGTCTTCAGCTTGAAGGTGTGACTAAAGGTGCCGGCTCCCAGGCTGTTCAGGGCTTGGATTCGGATCCTGAGGAGGAAGCAACAGAGGAGGTCAAGGACATAAATGACCTGAGCACAAACACTGCAGGGACTGCCAAAGTGGCATAAAACGGCATTTTATTTCATTGGCAGATATTGATGTTCAGCCTCACATTTCATGTTGTTTCGGCAACACTCATCCTGAATAAAAGCTGAAAGTCAGCGCTTTAATTCACTCTCAGTCTTTAGTTTATTGCAACAATAAAAAACATGCCTCCACACTGCACAACTGTCACACCTCTGAGTGGGCTTAAAACATAAACCTCATGTAATCAAACCAGTATTAAATACAACCCTGTGTGGATGACTTTCTTAAAACACTAATCCACGGCGGACATTTCATTTAATTTAACGCTGCGTAACTTGAGTTTCCTGTAAAAATCGATGTTTCCTAAACAGCTGTCAGCCCTTGCCAGAACAACCTGGATTTACAAATGTAACGAATCACATTTTGCGCAGGTTGTCCCCTTTGGTACGAAGCAACACAGTGTGTGTGTGTGTGTGTGTGTGTGTGTGTGTGTGTGTGTGTGTGTG